GCTTAGCATAATAACCTCTAGTTCCATCCACATAGTTGCAAATGGCAAGATTTCATTCTTTTTGATTGCCAGGTACTGCTCCATTGTGTATATATATGCCACATCTTCTTTATCCATTCATCCATCGATGGACATTTGGGCTCTTTCCCCACTTTGGCTATTGTCAGTAGTTCAGCTACTTTTTATTAGTTGGTCTTTCACACCTGCAAATCAGATTTTTGTGCTTTATTTTTGAAGCTTTTTTTTTTTTTTTTTTTTTTTTTTTTTTTTTTTTTTTTAATTTTTATCTTAGAGAGACTGCAAGCAAGGGAGGGGCAGAGGGAGAGAGAGAATCCCAAGCAGACTCCATGCTCAGCACAGAGCCCAACACGGGGCTCGATCCCACAACCCTGGGATCATGACCTGAGCCGAAATGAAGAGTTGGATGCTCAACCGACTGAGCCACCCAGGCACCCCTGTTTTTTTTTTTAAAGTAGTATTTACAGAACATTGATTTACTATGTTTTTATCTGTTTCCTTGATTATTTGATCAGTTTTTACCTAACTTGATGTAATTCCAGAGAAAGATGTTTTCACATGTCAGTTCCTCATTTTTCTTGATACAGCTCCCCCTCCTCCCATGAACAGTCTGTGGACATGGGGAATTAGCAGAAGGATGCACAGGAAAGAAAATAATAATGAGGCTTCAGTGGCCTGGGCAGTGGTTGGGTTTGAATTTGTTGTCTTGAATGGGTTAATCAGCATTCTCCGTGGTCTCTGCGGGAGAGGCGTGGCCCCGGTGCAGTGTTTCACGAGTCCGTTTTGAATGCAGGTTCTGAAGCATATACGTCATCTTCAGGAAGCACAGAGCAGACGGCACCAGGAGACAGCACGGGGTACATGGAAGTTTCTCTGGACTCCCTGGATCTCCGTGTCAAGGGAACGCTGCCCTCACACGCAGAAGGTGAATGTCGGTGCCATGACCAGACCAGGCACCAACTTGCTTTTGCTGGGGGTGGCCTTGTATTAACGTGATGACCCCTGGTGGGTAGTAACGGAATGTTTGATTAATTGCATCCCTAAAAGGTGGCTGAGTGGACCCTCAGGGGCGTGTTTGCCTGGTCACCCACAGCACTAGAGTGACACATCTCACACAAGATCAGGTTGTTGGTGGTCACGGCTTCCATTTCCCTCTGTCAGCCAGACACGTTCTTACGTAGAGCTCCTGATGGAAAGGTGTCTTCCTGCCCTGCTGACTCAGGAAATGTACAGGTGCTAAAACTGTCAATAGTGTGGTTTTGTCATCTTCTCTGACTCTGATTGTGATTGGTGCCCAGGTCCGTTGTGTGCTGAAACAAAGGGTACACCTAGTGCTGGTTTGGGCTGTGAGGGTGTGGGCGCAGCTGCGGCCCCCTGCTGCTCTGGAGTTCTCCTGCCAGCCGGCCCTGGTGGTGCAGGGCTTTCTCCCCACCGCTGCCTCCTCTTCTTGAACCATTTCAAAGTCTTTCATCAGTGAAAAGTAACTAATCGCTGACTATTTTGGAAAATCTCTTTACAATGTGAAATCCCCAAGTTATTTACACCCCATGTGGACCGTGAAGCTGTGGGTCATGTGCTGCTGTTGGGGTTTAACCTGTCAGTCTTCTGAGGACAGATAACTAGCTTTTTAGGGTTTTGAATGCTAGAAGAATTTTGATCACCTCTTTAGTGTGGGAAATCACAGCTTTAGCCGAAAACGCAAGTTGTAGACTTGTCCATCAGAGAAACCATCTTTCTTCTTGCACCAAATGGAGCAGAAAGCATCTCTGTCATATCATAAAGTTGTCAGCATAGTCACCTCGTGCTTTCTTTCCACATGAAGGATCATTTTTCTTTTTTTTTTTTTTTTTTTTTTTTTTTTAATTTATTTTTGGGACAGAGAGAGACAGAGCATGAACGGGGGAGGGGCAGAAAGAGAGGGAGACACAGAATGGGAAACAGGCTCCAGGCTCCGAGCCATCAGCCCAGAGCCTGACGTGGGGCTTGAACTCACGGACCGCGAGATCGTGACCTGGCTGAAGTCAGATGCTTAACCGACTGCGCCACCCAGGCGCCCCAGAAGGATCATTTTTCTAAACCTGATTCTAAGTTTGTTTCAGGAAGTTAGATTTGGATATAAGCTGGAAATAGTATTTCCTTTAATCAGACTGCTCCTCTGCTGTGGCCCAGTGGGGAGGCAGGTGAAGAGCACAGTGGAAATTCCTGTCGCTCACTCGTGGAGTGACCTGGGCTTGTCCCAGTGGGGAGGTTGTGTGTTCGTGTGCTTATGTTCTGTTTCTGGTAAAAGTAAGGGCCAAACTGGTGGGAGCCAAGCTGGAGAAGTAGGAGAAGACGGAGGGTTCCTGAGATTCCATGACATTTTGTAAGTTGACTTTCTAAACTTGATAGGATTGGTAACTTCTCACTAATAAGTCAGTGATTGCTCAAAAGTCATACTTTTAGTTGAGAGAATCAGCACATGGAAGACACAAGTTGCATTTGCATGTGTACATTTATTTTAGAGCCTGAGTTTTGGACACTCGAGGGAGGCAGTTGTGGAGCCTGAGGCTGGACTGGAGGGACTGAGTGCCTCAGGCTCCCTGGAGGCCTGGGGTCAGGGGGCGTGCTCTGTGACAGGTGCAGAGGGAGGGCAGGTGATGGTTCTGGGTCATGGGTCCAGATGGCCCAGGCTTGAGCGTGGAGAGTATTTCCCATCAGAATTCACTGCCTGCATGTCTCTCTAGGCATCTTTGCTGCCCTTTCTGCCGAGTTGAGGTTGAGTGACATTGTGGTCCCAGCAGGTGATGGGAGGGGAAGCCAGACGTGGGTGATGGGATTTTGGGGGGAGCCAGAGCTCAGTGGGAGTGGGTACCCTGGTGGGGTTCTCTTGAGCCATTCACCTGGTACCCCTGGTGGCTCCCACTGCTGGAGACAGGAGCACATCCCACGTTCAGGAGGCATCTGAACCACTGCTGTCTTGTCCATGTGTATGGGAAACTAAATCCGAAGGCCTGGTCTTCACCCCACCCTCGGCCTTCTCAGCCATGCTGGCTGGGCCCCTGCACCGCCTGTGTCTTCCTCATTTGAAAATCTAGTTGCTGAGCAGAGTCTCCGCCAGGGCTCTCCCAGTTTTAAACTTGTAGCGGTTCTAACGTTAGTTCCAGTTCGCCGTTTGCCTGTGTCCTCTCCTCACGAACGACAGGTGTCATGGTCTTGGAGTGTAGGTGACCCAGACACTTGGCCAGTGGTGGAAGACCTGCATCCTGACTCTCCTGGTAAGGGCCAGCCTTGGATTACACGCAGGGGTAGTGAGGCAGTGAGGGCATGTCCTCCAACCCCATGTGGGCCTGCTCTGAGGTATGGCAGTAAGAGGCCATTTTTCTTCTTTGGCTGTCTCACAAGAAGAGAACTCGAAATGTGTCTTCCTGTGGAAGCAGCCAGACCTTGTAGCCGGGTCGGAGTGAGGGGTCTGCCTGCACCCCACCCCCGAGGCCGGCCTGGCTCTGGCTGTGCTCAGATGTGGGCTGTGGCCCCCCTCCCCACCCCAGCACTGCTCATCTAGTGTCTTCCCCGTGAATTGGGGATGAGAAGTGCCACCCTCATCAGTACTCTCACCGCTGGCCCAGCCTCCCTCAGCTCTTCCCTCCTCGGTCCGATAAGTGTCCTACATGGAAAAGAAACCCTCCCAAATGGAATTGAATGTTTGTTTCTGTGGCAGCAATTCTAAAACCAAGTGAGGAAAACAAGGTCTCAACACGTATGCTTTTTTGTGTGAAAACCAAAAGATTTAGGAGTAGCTGAGGAAGGTATAGTCTTTCTCTGAACTTAGGTCCTGGCTCCTGAGAACATGGATTAGCAAGGAATCCTTAGGGGCCTGGCAGGTGCTATGCTGGTGGGAGAGGTTCCCGCCCTGCCCTGCCAGCAGTGGGCGCTCCACCCGCGGGTGGGCCTTCCTGCTATGGGGTGCTGCTCGTGCAGGCAAGTAATTGGCGTTGTTTTATTTCCTTCCACGTGAGGTTTCTGCAAAGACTATGTAATTGTTCACTTTCTAGACTGCGTCTTGAGGTGGGGACTTTGTGCCACTGAGTATAGTGGACGCCTGTCTGGGAATGCACTGTGTTATTAGTGACGCTCATGTGTGTCTGTGTGACTTTAGGGCTGGCCAATGGTCCTGACTTGGTGGAGACGGACGGCCTTCAGGAAGTGCCCCTCTGCAGCTGCCGAATGGAAACCCCGAAAAGCCGAGAGATCACTACTCTGGCCAACAACCAGTGTATGGCTACGGAAAGCGTGGACCACGAAGTAAGCAAGCAAGCTCACTTCCGCTGCAGTGACAGGACTAAGGCAGGACCCCAGAAGCACAGTAGAATTGGTGGGATGCAGGCTTGTCATACCTCTGCAGCTTCTGGTTGGACCCTTGGGCACAGGAGAGCGTCCCTCATCTAACCTACTAAGGTTGTTTGGCACCCCAGACACACTCTGTACTCGATGGACAGAACAGATAACCACGTGGTCTTTTTTGTTGTTTTTCCTCATTCTTCATAGTGGGGAGTTGGTACCCTGATGGTCCCAGGGGCTTGGTTGTTTCTCCCTCCCTCTCCTTTCCTTTAGTATCTTAGGGACTCATGGTCTTTTCTGTATTCCATGTGTTGTAAACCTTGTTGTTGTAGAGTGAAGCATAGATCCAGAAAATGATATAAGACAGATGTTTGGCCCAATGAGTGTGTCCAGGGCGAGCACTCTGGTAGCTTGCCACCAAGGTTCGGGCTCGCCCTGGGCCCAAGTGACCCCCAGCCTGCCCTCCACAGTGCTCACCTTGCCTGCATGTTCCGAATAGTCTCATTCTGCCTGGCGTGAACTTGGAGACATTGTTGGCCTTTTGCCTTTTAATTTATCTATAATCCCCCTTATTTTCTTTTCCTACCAACTTACCTGTGGAACAGTCCCGGGCCACATGGCTGCCTCGACTGGACTCTGTGCCTCCCACTCACAGTGCTGTCCGCTGGCCCTGTGTCCTCCCTGCTCACCTGCAGCTTGCCACAGAGACAGACCAGACCCGGGACAAGACGTACAGAACGTCTGGTTGTCTCTTTTTCTGATGGTAGCGGCTGCTTACTCTTGATGTCTGTATTTATTAATTTCTCAGAGGTTTCAGCACGGCCATGGTCTGTCTGTCCTGTGTTGTTCATTTGTCAGTTAGGGTAGTGGTGTAGAGGGGCCTATCTTCCCATCTGTTCCATCCCCCAGCAGACATCTCCTAGAGGATCGCAGGGTCCTGAGAGCCCTTCTCTGTTTCTTCCCACTCTTCACATCATAAATTTGGTCTTGGTCATCTGAGGTTGACCAGTTCTTTCTTTTATAATATTGTGAATGAATGTATGTATTTGAACATATTCGACGGGTTTTAATTCTGTGTGTTATAATTATTCTTGAAGCTCAGATTGCCCCATCTTTGGCATGGGTGTGTGGGACCTCTCTGTGCTGAACTCTTTTGTGGAGTTGGAAGGTCAAGACTATTTTCATAATGATAATAAAAAGTTATGTGTCTTTTCACTGATCTTTTTCACAAAGTATATGCTGGCATTTTATGCATTGAGAATCTCTGTTTAACTCCTGGAATTCATAATTTCCATAGTGTTACAGAGTCATCCGAAGTGCAACATGGTGTATTTTAACGTAATAGTACTGAAACCGTGTGGACAGTGGTTTGAGAGCTCACATAGCAACAAAGCATTTATGAAACTACCCTTGTAGAGTTTGATGTAGCTGCTCTGAGTGCAGAAGTGGATGGAGAGCCCAGCTCTCTTATTAAGCCAGGTATTCAAAGAGTTTTATAGACAATATAGAACAGCGCCGCTCTTGTCACTAAAATGTTCTTTATGTTAACGTGATAGGTTTATTGCTATTTTTAAATAAATTAAAATTTAAAATTATTTTTAAATTTCTCCAGTGGCAAAATGTCAACAGATATACCCCACCTGGACAAAAGGTCTTTGGGGCCCTTAATAGTTTGTTTTTTTAATGCTTACTTACTTTTGAGAGAGAGAGAGAGAGCGTGCATGCGTGCGCGAGTGGGGAAAGGGCAGAGAGAGAGGGAGACACAGAATATGAAGCAGGCTCCAGGCTCCCAGCTGACAACACAGAGCCCGATGGGGGGCTTGAACCTGCAAACCATGATATCATGACCTGAGCTAAAGTCAGATACTAACCGACTAAGCTGCTCAAGCATCCCGGGACCCTTAATAGTTTTTAATAGTGCACGAACACAAAGAACCCCGAAACCAAAGATTATGAGAAGCACTGGCTTTATCTCTTTCATCCTCTCGTTCCCGACCTGTTCCCTGATGTCCTTGTGCCTTGGGCAGGCAGGAGTTCTGGTGGTGGGCTTTGAGAGTTTCTGGAAGCTGCAGCATACTGGCCCCAGGTCTCAGCCTGCCCTCCCCTAGTCCTCCCTGCTTCCCAGAGACACTGCCTTGGTCTTTCTTCTCTTTCTGCCCCAACACCAGCATCACACACGTCTTGTAGCTAAACGGGGTCTGTGTCTGCTTCCAGACGTTTGCGTCTTGCAGCTGTGGTAGCTTGCTTTTGTTGTAGTAAATAAGTCTGTGACTTGTGGCTTTGCAGTCTAGTTGCTCAGTTTTATGTGGGATTCCAGGAAATTCTTAGGCCACTGCTGTTTTCCCAAAAATTGTTTTTGTCTGGGTGGTCTGCGTGTCTTTATTTAGTTGCTAGCATTCCTTCCCAAAACAAGCTCATTTGTCTTTTTTACTTGTCAGGCAGCTTTATGGAAGCACACTTCACATGGTAAAAGTCCCCTTTTTGTGTGTATTTCTGAGTGTTGGCAAATGCATACAATCATGTGACCACTGTTGCTGTGCTGTCAGGAACCTGCTGTTCAGGTCTTCTGTGCTTTGCCGACTCTGTCCATCGGTTCTGTTGCCAAGGGACAAGTGTGGATTCTTCAGCCACAGTTGTGGGTTTCTCCTTCTGGACCCATTGGTGTGGCTTCTTGTGTGTTGAACCCTGTTGCTGCGTGCACATATGTCCCTCGGCAGTGTCCCTCTGCAGCCCCGTGGAAGCACATCTGCTGAGATCTCACTTGTCTGATACTAACGTAACCACCCTGGCTTTCCTGTCATGAGTGTTTGCAGGGCACATGCCCTGTCCTTTACTTTTCACCTGTCTTTGTCTTTAAATTTAAAGTGGATTTCTTTAGTGTGTAGTAGGGTTTTACTCTTGTATATAATCAGTCTTTGTTTTTAGTTATTTATTTATTTAGAGTGCAGGAGGGGCAGAGGGAGGGGTGGGTGGGAGAGAGAGAATCCCAAGCAGGCTCTATGCTGTCGGTGCAGAGTCTGATGTGAGGCTTGAACTCAAGAACTGCGAGATTGTGACCTGAGCTGAAGAGTCGGACGCTTAACTGACTGAGCCATCCAGGTGCCCCTGACATCTTAATGGTGTTAAGATTTATGTCATCCGCTACTCATTTTTCTCTATTTTCTGCCTTTTGGATTGAATTTTTTTGTGATTGCAGTTTATCCCACCATTGGCTCTGTGATGTTCGCAGTGATTGCCCTGGGTTTCCAGGCTGCATCTCTAACCTCTGCCTGATGCCACACCATTTGATGTGGTGTGAGAATCTTACAGTGACATGGTTCCAAATCCTCCCTCCCATCTTTTGGTGTATGTTTTAATTTCATATATGCTAAAAACCCGCAGTACATTGCTGTTATTTTTCTTTAAGTAATTATCTTCCGGACTGATTAAACATAAAAGTAGTCTCTGGTTGACCTTCATATAGCCCCTATGCAGGCAGCGCTCCTCCCTCTGTTTAGATGGTGTCCGGGACCCTGCCATTGCAGCCATCCCATGGCGCAGGTCTGCGGCGACAGTGAGTTCTCTCCCTTCTGTGTGCCTGAGAATATCTGTTTCTTGCCTTCATTTGGGGGAGATTTTCATGGGCGGAGAACTCTCAGGACCCACACATGCCGCTCCCGTGCCGTGTTCCCTGGCTCCTGACGAGAAGCTGGCCGTCTTCAGACTTCTCTTCCTTTGCTTGTGGTGTTTTTCTTTGGCTGCTCCGAGGTTTTCTCTTTGTCTTTGGGCCTGGGTGGGATGGTTTTGCTCTTTTGTTTTTCTCTTTCAGTGTTTATACTCCTTTGCTTTCTCTGAGCCTCTTGGACTCTGATCTGGCACCTGCTCGTCCCAGAGCCTCCTCACCTGGCAGCCCTGTGCTTCTCGGCCAGCCTGCCCTCCTGTTTCTGGCTCTCTCATCATGCGTGCTAGGTTATCTGACATTGGCTCAGCTGGTGGGTGCTCTGCTCTTTTTTGCTGTTTCTATTTTAGGTTTGGGTTAATTACATTGACCTTTTTCAATTCAGTGACTTTTTCTTCCTTGTTGAGTATACATACTCATGAGCCAGTCAAATGCATTCATCTGTTTCCATATTTTGTTATTTCTAGCATCTTCATTTGACTTTCCTAACATTCCCAGTCTGCTCGTGCCGCCTGCTCTGGCTCCTGGTCCTGTGCTCAGACTCCTGAGCAGAGTCCCTCTGCCATAGCACCACTGCTGCTGTGGGCCAGATGAGTCTCTGTGCGGGTCTGTGCTGTGTGGGGTGGGTGTTTAGCAGCATCTCATCTTGTGACAACCGTAAATGTCCGTGATGTTGTCAGGTGTCTGCTTAACTGTGTGTCCGTCGCAGAACTCCTGATGTGTGTTTGTGCCACCTCTTTGCTGTGGCTCTCCCGGTCTCCCTCCCCTGGGGCAGCCACTGTGACTTCTTTTAATTTTTCCTTGTGTTTTTCTCCATAATTTTACATGACTCACTTTCTGCTGTCATTCCTTGACCCTCTCCTTAGGAGACACTGCCTGCTGGTTTCTGACTGGGGAAGAGGTGCTCACCTTTTAATTAATTCTTCTTTCTCATCGCCCCACCTGCAGTCTGCGTTCTATCCTCAGTTTTGGTTAAAACGGTATTTGTGGTTTTCGTAACACACGATGGCAACGTTCACAACTGAGCCAGCAGTGTGCTTGGAATACATTCATTCTCCTCCTCAACATTTTATGTTTCTCAGAGTTAATAATTTTCTCGTTTTTCATGGTCTTTGTACCCATTCTAAATTCAGTCCTAGAGTGATAGAATTACACATTTCTATAGGTGTTTTCAGCATATCCAGTCTCTCTGGGTCATAGCTTTCTCATCTTGGTGGTGCATAACCTTCAGTAGCTTCTTACGAAAGGTGGCTTGGGAGATAAATATCGGAGACTCTGTATTCTGGAAATGCGTCATTTCAGGACAGAAGTCTAGGTTGGACACGGTTTCCTTTTTCTGTTGAAGTCACTCCTCTTCGTTTGGGTTGTTGCTGTGCGGGGCCCATGCAGTCCTTGCTGGCGGTTAGGCCATCTCCTCTGGGCGTACCACTGTCCTGGGCTGCCACTGGCTCCCTGTAGAAGGGACACGCGTGCCCTTCGTGCTGGAAACCTGTTGCCCTTGTTCATTGATCCTTTTCTTTTCTCTCTTTTCCCTTTATTTTAGGTCTTCTAGATGGAGCTTCCAGTTTTCTTCTATTTTCCACATTTTTGTCTTTCTGCTTTAGTTTTGCAAAATTCCCATTTGTCTTCCACCAGTTCTGTGGAAATTTCCATTTCTTCTACCTTTTCTGATTTCTGAGAGCTCACTCTTGTTCCCTGAGCATGCGTCTTCCTTCATAGTGTCCTGTTCCAATGTGAGAACGGACACAAGGTCTGTTTCTCTAGGGGCGCCGGTGAGTTTCTTGCACATTCTTTTTCTGCCCCGGCTTGTACTCCCCAGACTGCTTCTGATTTCCGCGTATTTGCTTTGGTGTCTGTGCTTTGTCTCTGCTTCCCCCACTCGGGCACATGTCGGTCGGGGAAGGAGGGTCTGGGCCTTGCTGTGGGGCGGCCTGGTCAGCTGAGCAGTCGCTGGGCAGGGCATGGGTGTCTCCTCGGAGGCTGAGGTGGGCTGCTACGGGGGTGTACCTGGGCCACATTCGGCCCGTCGTCTGTGCAGTAGCCCTTTCTCTGGTGTTTTGCTCTGGCCATCGTGACTGCTTGTAGGTTCTGTGGATTCACAGTGAGGTCCCATTACTGACCCACAACATCCTTTCCATCCGGCCTGGCGTAAGTCCCATTTTTCCTCAGTACCTGGCCCAGACCCCAACTTGCCCAAGACTTTTTCCTCGTTTTGGCAAGTTAACCACCCACTCCACGGACAATGTGTGTGTGGCCAGTCATCAAGCTCACTGTTCTCTTCTGGCGGATGTGCAGAGGATGGAGCCCTGCCTGCCCTCTGCATTTCCATCCCTACTCGGGAGCCCTCAGAGTCTGCCTTGGACTCACACCTGCCAGACCCCTCCCCGAAGGCCCTGTCGCTGACCCTGGTCCTGTCTGATTGCAGCTGGGCAGGTGCACCAACAGCGTGGTCAAGCACGAGCTGATGCGCCCATCCAGCAAAGCGCCGCTCTTGGTGCTGTGTGAAGACCACCGGGGCCGGATGGTGAAGCACCAGTGCTGTCCTGGCTGCGGCTACTTCTGCACAGCGGTGAGTGCCCGGCCAGCCGTGCGAGTGCCCCGCTACACAGCCTGGCACCAGCGCTCGCTGCCTCCCTCCGCTAGCTGACAGCTGTGGCAAACGCCTCCCGAAGCTCCTGAATCTGGGGGCCCGCCTGGAGGGTCCCTCCCTGCATACGCTCCCTTTTTGCCGCCTGTGAACCTTTGGCCTCCCAGGCACCATGGGGGCATGTGAGCCGGGCACCCTCCGCTCTCCTCCTGTTCACTTTGTCTGAACACACGGCGGCCTTTCTCCTGGACAGGGCCTGCCTCACCTTCGGCTTTGCCTTCATCTCTCGGTGGTTACGGTCTTGTTCGTTCCATACACACCTGTGCGCACTGGTGCCTACGGTGCCTGGATGAAGGCGAGGAGCCCTGTGGTTCACTTGGCCCGTGGCTGAGACACCCACTTGGGCCAGGAGCTTCTTTACAGTGGCTGCTCTTTGGATTTCACATCTGTGTGCCCTTCCTTGTCTTCAGTGTCCTTTGTTGGCTTCTGCTAAGAAAAAGAGGGACACTGCTTCTCTATGTCCATTGACCCTTAGCTCCCGGCAAGAGTGCCCTGCTCTCATTGCTTCTCATGCTGCTGGAGGGTTACCTTCCTTGGTGCCAGCGAGAGTCCTTTTGAGGCCATCAGGGGTTTTCCTGAAGTGCCCCATGGTGGTGCTGGGTAATCTCTGCAGAGCACCGTTTTCCCGATGTTCTGTTCCACGATTCTGTTCCTGGATTGTACTCCAGGGGTCCTTCTTGGGGCCTGGTCTTTCGGGGCCTCCCTCCTCTGGTTAGAACTGCTGGAGGGTGAGGCCGTGGCCCTTGGAGGTGTGGGGGGCAGTCAGGTGACCTCCCCGCCTCAGGGCTGTAGGATGCAGGTCTCCCACTTACATAGCCAGGAACTGGGGGCCCCGACTGGCCTCTGGGCACCCCCATGCCAAGTGCAGGCTCAGGAGCACTGTGTACTTTTATGCGTGTTAGCCCTAATTTTAAAAAATAATTTTTCATCTTCCCATTTTTAGGGTAATTTTATGGAATGTCAGCCTGAGAGCAGCATCTCTCACCGTTTCCACAAAGACTGTGCCTCTCGAGTCAATAATGCCAGCTATTGTCCCCACTGTGGGGAGGAGATCTCCAAGGCCAAAGAGGTGACCATCGCAAAAGCGGACACAACCTCTACCGTGACACTGGCCCCTGGGCAGGACAAAAGCTCCTTGGCGGAGGGCAGGGCCGACACCACCACAGGCAGGTACGTGCCCAGCAGAGTCTTGGGCAGCTCTCCTGGAAACGTGTGTGTCTCTGAGTGCTAACTACTGTGTGTGTCTGTACACGTCTGTACCCCTGCACGTCTGTGTGTGTGTCTGCGCCCTTGCGCCTGTGTGTATGCACACGTCTGCGTCCGTGCCCCATATGTGCTTATACACGTTTGTGTCCCTCCGTGTGTCCATACACATCCATACATGTGTCACACATGGGTATGATATGAAATATTAGCTCCAGCTGCTGCAGTTTATTACTAAATTGTATTTTGAAGGCACTAGGTAACCAGAAAAGAATTTTTTTAAGGGAATGGTTCATTTTGGGAGTATGTAATATGACAGGTATTATACTGATACAGAGAAAAGTAAAACTTTGTTGAGGGTCATTTAAAAGAGACTTGGGGACGCCTGGGTGGCTCAGTCGGTTAAGCGTCCGACTTCAGCTCCGGTCATGAACTCACGGTGCGGGAGTTCAGGCCCCGCATCGGGCTCTGCGCCGACAAGCTCGGAGCCTGGTGCCTGCTTTGGATTCTGTGTCTCCCTCTTTCTCTGACCCTCCCCTGTTCATGCTCTGTCTGTCTCAAAAATAAACAAACATTTAAAAAAAAAAAAAGAGACTTGAATTGTAGATGTATCAAAATGAATATTGGGAGGAGGGCAGTTTCTTCTTGTTTTTCTTTTTGCTAATGTATAAATTTAACATACTTTGAATCAGACTTCCAGGGGAATTTTTGCCCCCTGGGGAGAGCGGTGGGGTTTGATAGATCCAACCTGAAGCTCATTCACAAAAGCAAACTTGAACGTGGTCCTGGAAGCCCTGGAGAAGTTTCCCTTGCTTTGAATGTCACTTTTTTCTGGGAATTTGCCCTTGAATTGGGCTCTTTGATCCAAGGAACTAAATAGAAAGTGAGTCTGAAGTCATTTTCATGCTCAGAGAGCAGCATAGCTAGAAGGGTCTGAGTGAATCATGTTCTGTGTTTTCGTTGGTTTCCACAAGAAGCGGAGTTTTTCACGTGTCTAACATTCAGCATGTTGTCTGTTTCCTACCCTCGAAGCACTGCTGGACCATCGCTCTTGGAGGACGGCAAGCCACAGAGTACGGCCCCCCAGGCAGCCGAGGGCTTCGACCCCACAGGGCCTGCGGGGCTGGTGAAGCCGGCCCCCGGCCTTTCCCAGGGACCAGGGAAGGAGACCTTGGAAAGTGCTCTGATCGCTCTAGACTCGGAAAAGTAAGAATCAGTTTGTATTTTCAGATGGCTCAGGGCCTGACCCACTGACATCTGCACATCTGGACGCTCCTTCCTACAGATTTTCTTCCCTCTGTGTCAGCCACTGGGCCATTTGCGCGCACGTCTTTAAATCCCCCACTGCTTCCAGTACTGCCGTGGCTGCACTTCCTAGGTGTCTGCATCCGGTAGGGTACCATCTGAGGGTCACAGGGCATCCCCATGGGGTCATGGGGCATTCCCAAGGAGGCCCTGGTAACATCCATCAGCTTTTTGATTGATGGTGTTCATCAGGACAATTCACATATTTTTATACTGTTTCAGGAAATTATTGCAAGCTGTTCAATATACTAAGAGCAAAAGGTGACATCCTTTAAGTCATAAGTGAGGACAGTCGTGGTGAGGCTTTTACAAATGTTTCCCCTGGATGTTGTTAACCCTTGGCATTGACCTCGGGACATTGGAGCAAATGCCACTTGACTGGTTCCTCATCTGTGAAATGAAGGGTTGAATCAAGTGGTCATTCAGGCTTACAGATCAACTCCCAGATAGCACAACCCTGTAGGAGCACCCTGAGTCTGTGACCTAGGAACCAGGCAGGTGTCCTCCCCTGGGGAAGCGTGCCTGTGCTGGAAGGGGCATGCATCTCGTTACTCTTGCTTTGAGGAAAGCTCAGGTGTTGGGACACATCGCCAGGTCCCCCGTAACTTCAGCTTTGTTAGTGTCCAGCCTCGTCTGTGGCCCTGGTGTTCTGGTGACTGTTGTGTTCCCCTGCCCCACTCACCAGGCCCAGACTTTGTACTGCTGAAGGGGGCAGGCTGGGCCAGGTGTGATGTGGATGAGGAAGATAGTTGCTCATTTTTGTTGTTTTTACTGGGAGATGCCTGAGCCTGGTGAGTTTGGTGCCCTTGACCCTGGGGCATCAGCAGGTGGATGTCATCCAGGTCTTCCCATCCTGCAGCTTCCTGTGCATGTGTGTGTGTGGCAGCAGGTGGGCCAGGAGCCAGGGTGGGGTCGCCTGGGGGTCACAGCTGTCCCACACTTTCCCCGCAGACCCAAGAAGCTTCGCTTCCATCCGAAGCAGCTATATTTCTCCGCCAGGCAAGGGGAGCTGCAGAAAGTGCTGCTCATGCTGGGTAAGTGGCCTGCACCTGAGCTGGGGCTGGTGCCTGTCCTGGTGGCCCCAGGAGCAGGTGGCAGTTTGCTGGTACCTCTTCTCAGGAGGAGGCTCTTACTTTGTTTCTCTTTATCTGTCTCTCATTTCTCTCATTTCAGTTTTTTGTTTTTTGTTTTTTTTTTTAATGTTTACTTATTTTTGAGACAATGCGAGAGACAGAGTGCAAGCAGGGGAGGGGCAGACAGAGGGAGACACAGCATCCCAAGCAGGCTCCAGGCTCTGAGCTGTCAGCCCAGAGCCCCACGCGGGGCTCGAACTCATGAACCGTGAGATCATGACCTGAGCCGAAGTCGGATGCTTAACCGACTGAGCCACCCAGGCGCCCCTCATTTCAGTTCTTGTTCATGACATTCGTATCCTGTTATTCATAGTAGTAGAAATATTTCCTGTGAATTTCTCATCTAAAAAAAGAATTAGGCATATAATGAAATCAAGAGGAGATGTAGAATCAGAAAAAGCAAGATGAGCGAGCTGGGGCCGGCTGTGAGCTGACGGCAGGAAGGCGAGTGCCCGGCCTGTGCTGGTGTAAGCCAGTTGTGGGCAGAGCAAGACCACTGACAGTGATGTCTGCACGTACATCTTACGTTTGATGCACCTTATGGTTGATATCTTACGGTTGATGCTTCGAGACCCTTCGCAGTTCTGTCTCCGGCCAAGGAAGGGGCAGTACTTTGATTCTGAGCTCACAGCTCAAGAGTTGGTTCCTCTGGGTTCAAAAGGGATTTAAAAAATCCCTTTACTTGACAGTCAAAAAAAGAAACTTAACAGTTTGTGCTAAAAATGTAAGTTATTTAATGTTGACCAAAGTGGGTTTTAAAAGAATTTTTTTTAATGTTTATTTATTTTTGAAGGAGAGAGACACAGAGTGTGAGTGGGGGAGGGGCAGAGAGAGGGGGAGACACAGAATCTGAAGCAGGCTCCAGGCTCCGAGCTGTCAGCACAGAGCCCGAAGTGGGGCTCGAACTCACAAACCGCGAGATCATGACCTGAGCCGGAGTCAGGCACTCAACCGACTGAGCCTGCCAGGCGCCCCCAAGTGGGGGTTTTAATCGTTTTCTTTCTCGGCTTGATGGGGTGCTGAGGTTGCTTGGCTGCTCTTTGGTTGGTCTGTTGGCCAAGTGTCCGTGTCAGGCCTGCTGGCACTGTGTGCACCAAGCCACATGTGTCTGAGGCTGCCCAGTGGGCCTGCCGCCCTTGCGCTCAGCAGGTGCCCAGGCCCAGGGGAGGCCGAGCGCAAGAGTGCTTGAAAACACACAAGGGAGCCCCTCTGGGTTAGGAGCAGCGAGGGCAGGGATTTATAACGTTAGGTGACTCCCAACCACAGACCCACCTGTTGAATTTTGTGTGAAACTAGCATACTCTCTTTTGAGTCTTGCGGTGAAATTGGAGCCTGGCTTTGCGCTTAGCTAGACACGGGATGGTATCGTGCGATGCTGGCCGTTGGTGGTTGTCTACATGTATCTTTGCCAGCCTTTCTGAGCATCCTGAAGTGCTGGGAGCCAGGGGCTGTACCCGAAATAACCGGTGAAACCTGTGTGTTCACAGTGGATGGAATTGATCCCAACTTTAAGATGGAGCACCAGAACAAGCGGTCCCCGTTGCACGCTGCCGCCGAGGCCGGCCACGTGGACATCTGCCACATGCTGATCCAGGTCGGACGCACGGCTCTCCGCAGAGCCTTCCACATGCTCTGTCTTGCCTTTGTCAAGTGAAATTGCGCAAGATTCATAGTTGTGAGAGCTGGGAAGTCAAACAGCACTGAATGGTCTAAACAGAAAACCAGTGTTTCTGTCCCTCCAGTCCCGGCACGCCCTGGTCCTGCTGGCAGTCTTGAAGCTGTTTCTCTGGCGTTTACCACTGGGTTTGAAAATAATGTGCTGCTGTACAGCTGTTTCTTGATTTGTTATTTTCGTTTCCATTTTGCAGCCAGTTTTTAATATTAATTACTGACTTTGGAGTGTGGGAAGGCTTGGCCCAGGCACGCGCACCTCCCTCCCCCAGTCCTCCTCATTTGGTCATGTCCCTGTGTTGCTGAGATGAGTGGGGAGATCTTGTGTTGGGTGGTCACGCCAGTACTTTCAGAGCTGGCCACGTCACGTCCGAGAGCGGTAATCGTTTTGTGTTTCTGTTGTCTCTCGGCCTCCTGCTGATTCATTCCTAACCCTGTCAGCAGACTGCACCTTGTCTCCATGTCACCAGGAAGCCCGTTGCGTGCTCCCATGCTTTCTTTCTCTGGGACACCCCCTTTCTGACCCTGTATTGGTTCCCTGTCTCCTGGAGACCACATTTTCAGTCTGATCTTTTATCTCCGGAAGCTTCAGGATATTTTCTTTAACCCACTGGTCTGAAATTTCACTGTGATGCAGCAGTCTTTTGACTCCTTTGGGGCATTTAGTACGTCATACGTTCCTGTCCCTTGTTCTGGGGTTTCTGGGTGCTGTCTTCCCGTCTGCATGCCCAGTGGTGCCCCCTGCAGCCCCTGTTTACACGTTAGGCCTTATGGACTAATTCTCTGGTCTTCCTTTCCTGCCATGCACCACCATTCCTTCATTTTCGCTTCCACTTGTTGGCAGTGTTCTCCACCTCACCCTCCAGCTCCTCTGGGGAGTTTTAACCTGTACAGGCCCATCTTGAGATCTTTCTTGCACCCTGTGAGTTCCTTTTTTGTACCTCTGTTCTTCCCTTGTTTCTTTGAAGATATTATGAGAATTTTGAAGTTTTATGCTGCTCTGTTCATTTGGTCTTTATTTTTGAAAGGTTTTCCTCAAATGCCCGATTTCCTGTTTGCTTATATCTAATGTGATAACATGCTGGTGGGGGATCCCTGCCTTGTCACTGTCGGGTGCCCCGCAGACACTGCCGTCTCAGGAGGAACACACGTACAGGTTGTCTCCTAAGCATGTATGTCTCTGTGGGAGCCGGAGGTGCTGGCGGCCAGGGCACCTGGGATGTTCCCTGGTGGTTCTGGCTGGAGCCGATGGAAGTGACAGCCACGGGCGGGGCAGGACACGACTGCGTTGGTGTTTGCACTTGTATCTTACAGTAGATACACCTGTTGGGGTAGATTCCTAATGCCTGAAAATGTTCTTGCAGACCCTTCCCAGCTTCGTGGCTTGCCAAAGAGCCTCTGTTTTTTTTTTGTATCTTTTTAAGTAGCATGTTGGTAGATTTGTTAAAAACTCAGTGTGATGATCTTGGTATTTTATTTTATTTTATTTTATTTTATTTTATTTTATTTTATTTTATTTTATTTTATTTTATTATCATTTACTATTTTTTTTAATTTACATCCAAGTTAGTTAGCATATAGTGCAATAATGATTTCAGGAGTAGAATCCAGTGGTTCGTCCCCTATGTATAATACCCAGGGCACATTGCAACAAGTGTCCTTAATGCCCCTTGCTCATTTAGCCCACCCCCTACCCACAACCCCTCCAGCAACCCTCAGTTTGTTCTTTGTATTTAAGAGTCTCTTATGTTTTGCCCCCCCTTTTATATTATTTTTGCTTCCCTTCCCATATTTTCATCTTCCACATATGAGTGAAGTCATATAATATTTCTCTTTCTCTAATTTTCGCTTAGCATAATACCCTCTAGTTCCATCCGTGTAGTTGCAAGGGGCAAGATTTCATTCTTTTTGGTTACTGAGTAATCCTCCATTGTATATATATACACCATATTTTCTTATTCCATTCATCTGTTGATGGACATGTGGGCTCTTTCCATACTTTGGCTGTTGTTGATAGTGCTGCTATAAACATATAAACATGGGGGTGCATGTGCCCCTTCGAAACAGCACACCTGTATCCCTTGGGTAAATACCTAGTCGTGCAATTGCTGGGTCTTAGGGTGGTTCTATTTTTAGTTTTTTGAGGAACCTCCATACTGTTTTCCAGAATGGCTGCACCAGTTTGCATTCCCACCCGCAGTGCAAAAGGGTTCCTCTTTCTCTGCGTCCTCGCCAACATCTGTTGTTGCCTGAGGTGTTAATGTTAGCCATTCTGACAGGTGTGAAGTGGTACCTCGTTGTGGTTTTAATTTTTATTTCCCTGATGATGAGCGATGTTGAGCATCTTTTTCATGTGTCTGTTAGTCACCTGGATGTCTTCTTTGGAAAAATGTCTGTTCCTTTTCTCATTTTTTTACTGGATTGTTTGGTTTTCGGGTGTTAAGTTTGGTAAGTTTTTTTTATAGATTTTGGATACTAATTGTTTATCTGATATGTCATTTGCAAATATCTTCTCCCATTCCATTGGTTGCCTTTTAGTTTTGCTGATTGTTTTCTTTGCTGTGCAAAAGCATTTTATTTTGATGAGGCCCCAATAGTTCCCTTTTTGCTTTTGTTTCCCTTGTCTCTGGAGATGTGTTGAGTAAGAAGTTGCTGTGGCTGAGGTCGAAGAGGCTTTTGCCTGCTTTCTCCTCGAGGATTTTGATGGCTTCCTGTCTTATGTTTAGGTCTTTCATCCATTTTGAGTTTATTTTTGTGTCTGGTGTAAGAAAGTGGTTCAGGTTCATTTTTCTGCGTTTTGGTGTCCAGTTTTCCGAGCACCACTTGCTGAGGAGACTGTCTTTATTCCTGCTTCGTCCAGGATTAGTTGGCCATACATTTGTGGGTCCATTTCTGGGTTCTCTGTTCTGTTCCATTGATCTGAGTGTCTTTTGTTGTGCCAGTACCATACTGTCTTGATGATTACAGCTTTGTGATACGTCTTGAAGTCCAGGATTGTGATGCCTCCAGCTTCGGTTTTCTTTTTCAGGATTGCTTTGGCTAATTTGGGGTCTTTTCTGGTTCTGTACAAATTTTAGGATTATTTGTTCTAGCTCTGTGAAGAATGCTGGTGTTATTTTGATAGGGATTGCACTGAATATGTAGATTGCTTTGGGTAGTATCAACACTTTAACAATACTTGGTCTTCTAATCTAGGAGCATGGAATATTTTTCCATTGTTCTGTGTCTTTATTCTTCCATAAGCTTTCTATAGCATTTAGCGTATAGACTTTTCACCTCTTTGGTTGAGTTTATTCCTACGTATTTTATAGTTTTTGATGCAGTTGTAAATGGGATTGATTCCTTAATTTCTCTTTTGCTATTTCTTTATTGGTGTATAGAAATGCAGCTGATTTCTGTGCATTGATTTTATATCCTGTGGCTTTGCTGAATTCATGGATCAGTTTTAGTGTTGGTTTTTTTTTTTTTTTTTTTTTTTTTTTTTTTTATGGAACCTTTTGGGTTTTCCATATACAATATTGTGTCATCTGTGAAGAGTGAAAGTTTGACCTCCTCCTTGCTGATTTGGATGCTTTTTATTTCCTTGTGTTACCTGATTGCTGAGGGTATGACTTCCAACACTGTGTTGAATAACAGTGGTGAGAGTCTTGGTATTTTAATAGGAACTTTTGGTCTAGCTAATACTTACTGTAATTTCTGGCATTCATTCATTCATTCATTTAATTTTAAACATTTATTTATTTTTTCTTTTTTGAGAGATAGAGAGAGAGAGAGAGAGAGAGCGAGTGAGCCAGGGAGGGGCAGAGAGAGAATCCCAAGTAGTGAATCCCTCTGTGCTGACAGCCTGACTTGGAGCTCGAATTCACAAACCGTGAGATCATGACCTTAGCTGAAATCAGGAGTTGGACGCTTAGCTGACTGAGCCACCCAGGCACCCTCAAATATTTCTTTTTAAATTTCCTTTGTTGCTGTCTTTTGGGTTGATATTTGTTTTGGTTTTCTCATTTCCTTTCTCTTCACTCACTTGGAGGCTACATACTCCTCTTTGTCGCCTCCAGAGGTCACTCTGTGATCTGGTGTGCAAGTGTTGTGTCCTTGGTCTTGAGACAGGCGAGAAGAGGGAGCTGCAGGTGCCGGGGAGCGAGGGAGGGAAGGTGCGCTGGCCTGCTGAGCTCCGGCGGGGAGACCTGTGGAGGCCTCGGGTGCAAGTTCAAGAGAAGCCTGGTAGGACTTGGGGACAGCCGAGGCGGCCTCCCAAAGTGGTCACAAGGGTTGGTTCTTGGCAGTGACAGTGGTAAGTAGCTAATCTGACAGAGGACAAGCCTGTTGGAGAGAGGTCAAGGGCAGCTGGCATGGCTATCGAGGCAGTGGCTTCGGATGCTGGTGCTCTGAGGGAGGGGGCTGGGAGTTAGTACTCCAACCGGATGTCCTCTCATCCTTGTCCTATGGAGTCACAGAGGGTGTGGCTTATGCTTCTCTGAGGGTGGCCTGGAGGCCCAGTACAGTGTGGGACTGTTGTAGGACAGGGATGAAGCAGGAGGTGGGGGCAGGTCACCCCAATGGGCCTGTTTGCTGCATGAGGTTGAGTGAGGGGGCCACCCAGGCTTCTCCTCACTCTCGGAGACTGGTATGGAGGGCTTCTTGGGAGATGTTACCCTGGATTTGGAATTCTAGGTTGCTGGTTCATTTCTCTTGCTTTGTTTAAGGAATGATTCCACTGTCTTCTAGTTTCCATGCTTGCTTTTTAAGAAATTAGCTTGTCATTCCTTTTAAAGGACTTGTTTTTTCTTTGGCCTTTTTTTTTTTTTTAATTTTTTTTTAAAGAAATCTTTTTCTCGTTTTTAATATTTATTCGTTTATTTTGAGAGAGAGAGAGAGAGCACGCACAAGCGTGGAGGGGCAGAGATGGATAGAGAGAATCCCAAGCAGGCTCCGTGCTGTCAGTGCAGAGCCCGATTTGGGGCTCGAACTCACAAACCTTGAGATCATGACCTAAGCCAAAATCAAGAGTTTGATACTCAACCAACTGAGCCTCCCAGGCGCCCCTGGCCCTTTTTTTTTTTTTTTTTTTTTTTTTTTTTTTTTTTATGTTAAAGAGTGTGTGTGTGAATGCGTGTATGTGTGATGCATACAGAAAGGTCCTTAAGGTAGGGGTGCCTGGGTGGCATAGTCAGTTAACTGCCTGACTTTGTTCAGGTCACGATCTCACAGTTTGTGACTTTGAGCCCCGCATCGGGCTCTGTGCTGACAGCTCGGAGTCTGGAGCCTCCTTGGGATTCTGTGTCTCCTTCTCTCTCTGCCCCTCCCCTACTCACGATCTGTCTCTCTCTGTCTCAAAAATAAACATTTGAAAATTAAGAAAAATAAAAGTCCTTACGGTATAAGCATCCTGTTAATAAATAATCATAAATGGCTCCCACCTCACCCGAGGTCAGGACACAACAGAGCCTACCCCCCGCCAGAGGGGCTGGCTCTCCAGGCTCTGATGGTGACAGCCCCCATCTCTGCACTTCTCTGGTTTGACCACCTTGCAAGCACCCGCAAACCATGTGGCTTACCCGTGTTTGCCTCTCAGCTTTGTGCTCATGGAGTCCCACAGTGGGGATTCTTCTGTGTCTGCCTTTCAGTCCAAGGGCAGAAGCCTGCCTTGTGTCCGTGACCACTGAGGGAGGAAGTGTGCCTGAGCTCTGGTCCCCGGGCCTGCCTCTGCTGCCCTCGTGTGAGGTGCCATCCTGGGAAAGCAAGTGGGAGCAGGAGCTCTGTGCTGGTCTGCAGCTTCTTGTGGGTCTTAAACTGTTGCAAAATAAAATGTTACTTATTGTGGAAAACCAGCCCTTTTTAGTGTTGTTTTCTGTGGCCTTCTGGGCTGACCTGATGTGTAGGGCTTGGCTCCACCTGCCTGGATTCTTAGCCTGATGTTTAATTCACTGGCCCAGGCTGCTCACCCTCTGAGCTTGGGAGCCTGTGATTTTGTGTATTTTTCTTCCTTTAGAACCTGAGCTTTTCTTGAGATTCCCCAGGAAAGATACGAGGCAGGCTTTTCTAGTTTGCCCTAAGTCCAAGAGTGTTGTTCCCTGGAGACTCCGCTTTTGTGGGGTGTCTCCCACCCCACCGTGTCCACTGGGCAGGCTCTGGCTCTGCGCCCTCTCTCCAGCCCCAGAGCAGCACTAAAGCCACCGCCGTCTCTCCTGGGCTACTGTCCTGCCGGGGTCTGAGAAGTGTCCTCTCCCAGCCAGGAGCGCCTTTGAAGAGTGGTTTTGATACCTTCCCATCTGTTTAATTTTCATCCTCGGGTCTCACTGGGAGCAGCAGTTATTTCATTTGGGCCCCGGTTCTCTGCAGTGTGGCGTGCCTTGCCACGTGTGGCTGTTTGAATGTAAATGACAAAGTTAAACGAAAGGAAATGTGTGCCCCTCTGGCCTCAGCTGCACCTCCCAAGCTCAGGGGCTGTGCGTTCGGGGCGGCTGTGCTGGGCGCAGACGGAGAGCTCCAGTGCCAGCACTGGGGACGTCCGTAGTGTGGGCACCCCTGCCACTGGGCACTCATAGCAGCTGCCCTGTCCTGGGTCCAGGTGTGTGTGTCCCCACTGACAGGCCACCTCCATCTGCTCCCCAGCTCTGGGTGCCTGTCGCCCTGTCCTTCCTGTGTTAGTGTTACTGCCATGAGCCTATGAGGTGTCTTCTAACACAGAAAGGTGGGTGTTCTAACAGTCACAGAGCCCGGAGGGGAAGGACAGAGCCACACCTGTTGCACTGACCCCTGAGCCTAGGGACTGCCATGGACTGCACACACCCACACAGGATCTTGCACACTCTGCATGCTCTCACGGGCCTTTTGGGGAAGAGGGGTGGGGGTTGGGACCTGCCTGGACTTGGTGTGTCTGGCCTGGAGCTTCTACTAAGTCCGTCCTGCTGGATGGACTGGAACTTTTCCCTGGGGACCTGCTTCCCTGTTCTCACCATTCTCTCTGGGGGAATCCCGTCAGTCACGTGGGGATCTCCTGGTTTGACTCTCTTTTCTCTGTCTCCTCCCTTTGTCTCGCGGTCTTCCCTACCTTTTCCTGGTGATGATCACTTTTTTCTGGGCTGACTGGCGTGGTGTTGGTTCTGGATTGTGTGTTCCAGTGAGGGTCTCTGTGCTTGTGTGTGGGCTTGGTCACTTTTTGCTCCTCCTTTCGCTCAGTCATGCTGGGAACTAGTTGTGAGTCCTCAGACCTGCCCCTGAAATCTCAGGGAGGGCCTGGTCCTCTGACCCCTGACTTTCAACTCTGCTTGTGGCCAACAGCCCCATCCTGCCCTCTGGAACTTGGCAGAAGTCTCCTTCGAGGCTCCCTGAGTCACCTCAGCTCGCTGGTTTCCCTGTGCAACACTCTGGGTCTATTTAAAAATTTCTTAACTCATTTTTAAAAAATTTTTTTCTAATGTTTATTTTTGAAAGAGAGAGACAGAACGGGAGTGGGGGAGGGGCAGAGAGAGAGGGAGACACAGAATCTGAAGCAGGTTCCAGGCTCTGAGCTGTCAGCACAGAGCTCAACACAGGCCCCAAACTCACAAACTGTGAGACATGACCTGAGCTGAAGTCGAGCACTTAACTGAGCCACCCAGGCGCCCCACTCATTTTGTTATTTTTGTTTTTAATTGTTAACAGCAAAAACAATACTGTTCTTAGCCTTCTCCTAATAAGTATTTTATAAACTAAATACTAGCTTTTGGTATGTCAGTTTAAGAAGGTGGAGGTTTTTCCCCCATGGGGAAGAAAGGTTTCAGTTGTGAGATAGCTGATTTGCTTCTAGCACACGACCTATTTTAAAGTTGGGGGCTTAAGTTTCACACAGACTGAAGTTTATCTACGTGTACTTGCTAGCTCATTAGTTTTCCAAGTACATGCTCTATTGGGAGAATTAGAAATTGCTTCAGAATACATACTACTGGAGATCAGTTTTGGTTCTGCTTATTTTGTTTGGGAAGCATTAAAACAGCCAGAGAAAGAGGTCACTGAACCAGAGTGTCCTTTGGTCATTGTAGGCCAGGTGACGGCCTGCCTCCTGGTCCAGCCCCACTGAGCGGTCCCTTCCACATCCCTTCTTTGCCTACTTTAGAAGGTTTTCACTTCTTTTTAATTTCTAAAGGTGTTGTCACTAACGTGCTTTAAACATTTTCTATCAAATTGGTTGGAAATGAAAATGTTCTTTTTTAAAATTTTTAAATGTTTATTTGTGTGTGAGAGAGAGAGAGACAGAGCACGAGCAGGGGAGAGAGGGAGACACAGAATCCGAGGTAGGCTCCAGGCTCTGAGCTGTCAGCACAGAGCCCAACTTGGGCCTCGAACCCATGAACCATGAGATCGTGTCCTGAGCTGAAGTCAGACACAACCGACTGAGCCACCCAGGGGCACTGAAAATGCTCTTCTTGAACTAAAGATTAGGCAATAATAGAACAATCATGTCTTTGAATTCGGTTCTGAAGACTCAGTTATAGTTGGTCATTAGAAATGATTTTTTAACGTAGCTCACGAGGTCTTAGCACTTGCAAGTGTCTGAAGTGTCTGAATGTGAGCCAGGTGGGGGCTACCGTGGCGGCTCCCCCACACCTGAACTGTCCTGTGTCACCAGGCGGGCGCGAACATTGACACCTGCTCA